GACCCCCCCCCCCCCCCCCTCCCTTTATCGGAAGGTCTGGATCCGCTACTGAAATAGGCCCTAAGTTAGTCTTGTTATTTAAAAATAGTAGTTATAAAACAGCCAATGGAATTAATTATCATAGTCATCTCTTAAGCACAATTCAGAAGTGCATTCCATGCCATCGCCCCACGATAAGCAAAAGCTCCTTTTAATGAGTTCGTTTTTGGCTTGGACAACTGCATGTGGAACGTACTGCAGTCGACTCCCGATAACTCGAACCTTCTAGGAAAATCGAAAAAAGTTCGAGTTATCGGGAGTTATTGGAGTTCGAGGTATCGGGAGCTCCAAGATTTTAGCCGTGAGTAAGGAAAAAACAATTTTTACTGCACAGTGAGCATTTTAATCACATTTAATTGTAGAAATGTTAAGTGAAAATTAAAAGATACTTCTAGATTATAAATCAGAACGTAACGTAACAAAACATTGCCTGAACAGAGTATGCACTTTACTTTTTGAGAAGTAAAGATGTTTCACGTTAGATTTGTGACAAACACCATCAGCCTCCACCAAGTCGTTGCATGTACATTGAAGCACAGACTATCAGATTTGCGTCTATGATTTAACGACGATATAATCTTTGCCAGTGGTAAAATACTCGGCATAATGCTCGAGAATCCGTGCTATGAATTAACAAAAATTCCAATTCTGGAAAGATTAAGCTAAATTCCAAACTAAAAGCAGGAGCTCATTGATGGGCTCCTCCTCTATGACAGAAAAATTAGGGAGGGGACTCTCCCTCTCGTCCGTTTAGTTTGTTTGCTGGTATGTTTCGCTCCCCTACCGGGAAAGTGAGATTTTAAACTTGCACGCACGTCCACCTTTTTAAGCAGTGAAGTCCCAGACTGATTTGTGCAAAAGGTATTCGCGACTGCGGAGTAAGATTTTCGAGTCCTAATGAGTTTTGTTTACATTAATATAATTTATTTTGTTTAAACCGTGAACCGTCCGGTTTACCCATGTAAACAACAAACAACCATGGACAACTCCAGAAAATACCATAACACACCATAATGCTCTTTATTTGTCACCCCGAAATTTTGCATAAGCATTGTTTTCAGTTTCTCTTGGGGCCATTTTAACAAACCTTTGAGGTCGTCGCAGGCCAAATTTCTGAACTAGTCAGTCTTGCTTTCTCTCGTCAAACTGGTTTTTTCGAGTGCGAGCACCTGTTTATTGAAAAACCAATTATCATAACCAAGCCCGCTGTAGCAGGTGCACGGCTATTAGGCCTGGGTCAAAACTATATCGTAACAACATGCCGTGCATGCTGAACAAAGATCTTGCTCAATTCGTGCAGTCTTTCTCGAGTACGCGGATGAAGATTTGAAAGTGGAAATAATCCTCGCAGTTGAATAAACAACTTAAGCGGTTGAAAAATCCACTTTCATATCTTTATCCGCAGTTCAAAATATGAATCACTCCAACGTGGTATCCCTCAAGGGACAAACTAGCATTTGAAAAGGTCCAGAGGAGGGCATCTTGCCTTGCGCTTCGACAAAAGCGTGGGAAAATGGAGTATGAGGAACGTATCAAAATTTTGAACTGGCCCATCTTAGAGAAGCGGAGATGGTTCATTTCACTTATAGAATGCTATAAAATTGTTTTTCGCTTAAATAACGTGGGCCGAGTTGTTCAAAGCCGTGTTAAGATAACCCAGGGTTAGTGCGAGATTTGAATTCAGATTTGAAAGCTTAAAATGCATTTCAGTTTTAATTCTTTTTTGTCTACAAGTTGATGATTGAAAGCTCTAAATATAACAGAGAAAATTATCCGCGAAAATGCTTCTGAACACAAGAAAGAGAAACCCAGGTTAAATTTAACCCCGGGTTAAGCGCTAATCGGCCTTCGAACAACCGGGCCCCGACGTTTAGTGATTTTAGCCTGCGTGGCAGGCGCAGAAAGGGGAGGGGAAGGGGAGAGAGAAAAGTGCGAAAGCGGCGGGTAAAAGGGAAGGGAGCTCTTACCCTCTCTCGCCAATCCCCTCCCTTTTTCCCTTCCTCCCTATTCCCTACCCGTTTCGACGCCTGCTACGAGGCTAAGTGATTTTTTCGAGCTCACTCTAGATAAGGACACTAGCTAGCCACTCTTTTAACTTAGGTGTGAAAAATGCAAGGTTTAACCCCTATAAATATTCATTCTTTATTCGTATAGTGAAATAATGGAACAATTTACCGCAGTATGTGGTTGAAGCAGAATCTTTTAAACTGTTTAAAGCGAGGTTAAAGTCTTTTTTAAATATCTGAATATGTAAATAGTGATAGGTAATAATTTAACGTTTTTTTATTCTTATTTAGGCATTTTTATTCTTATTTAGGAAACGGTATGGGGTAGACCTCGTGTTTCCTTTTCATGATGTATTTTATTTTTATTTTCTTATCTTCTCGTTTTTGTATTGTTATACACTTTTGTATACCTTATTTATTCGAATAAACGCCGCCCTCGATCAAACGCCGGAAGCAAAATGGAAGCAAGATGGAAGCAAAATTGCCAATAAAAGCCGCCCTCGAATAAACTCTGCACCTACAATTGTAGTCCGAAGAATGCAACGTTTACTCGAGGATAATAAGAAATTAAAAAACTCGGTACAACTTGGAAATTTACACCACCCAGGCATTTACGATTCTATCTCTAAGGAAGACATTGGAAACCTTAATTTACATAATATTTACAAACGATTGTCAGTGATTTAAAAAAAGTGATTTCGAAATAAACGTCGCCCTTGAATGAAAGCCGCGTTGAAAACGCTAAAAATTTAATAAACGCCGCCGCGTTTAATCGAATAAATACGGTATTGTTGAACATCATGAATAAACCAGTATTGCATTGTATTGTATTGATTCAGATTTATGGTCGCGTCCACACGTATCCGAAAATTTTTGAAAACGGAGAGTTTTTTTCCTCCGTTTTAGCCTTCCGTCCACACGTAAACGACGTTTTCGAGCAACAAAAACATATTTTCAAAAAAGTTCCCCAGAGAGGAGATATTTTGACAACGCCAGCAACAAGGCCTCTCTGCTCACTGCAACAAGAAAGTTGGAAAACATTTTTCCCTCCCTTCCCTCCCCTTTGGCTCCACTTTCATCTCCCGGATTGCGGGTGTGCCCTCACCTTTGCTGGGATAAATCTTCTTGTGTATCTGGATTTTCCTAGCTTGATATGCTTAGATGAAATAAACGGCCACTCTTGTGGCCAAATTTATCCCAAACTGGAATTGTCATTATTGGGTATCCCAGCAAACAGAGCTCACCCAAAGCAAGACTCCACCAACAGCAATAACTGACTCAATAATACTATCTAAAGGAAAATGGAGCATAAAAACATAGCAAGAACAGCAAAAGGACAACTCGAAGAACGACATCTGTTATTTGGAGAATATTTTCGGAGCTAAGGAACCCTTTATCTCCTAAACTTGCCAATTAACGTGCACTATCGAAGATGAACTTAACATCGATGGAGGTAAGCATGTTTTAGCTTGTTTTTAAAATAGGAATTATTTTGAATGGATAATAAAGCAATTATTGGATTCGGCCTTCGTATCATCTGAAAAATTATGGAGATCTCGGAGGGTTGTTTTCCGACTTGGCCTATGGCCACGGCGGATAAAACCCTCTTCGATCTCCATAATTCTTCAGATGGTACAAAAGCCAAATTCAATAATTGTTAAATAAACATTACACTCCGTGGCCGGATTACCAGAAGGACCTTTTCCCCATCACTGTCCAACTCTTCCATGATCGGTGGCAGACTTGCTTGACTCCTTGGTACTTTCTCAACCAAACCAGGCCCGGTTGCTGTGTACATTAATAACTCCACATTTTCCGTTTGCTGTGATAATGATGATAGAGACCTGGGTACTTAATCCGTTCAACTTCCAACTGAGCATTCAGGACGCGGTCCAGTAGGTCCCAGTCTTCTCCACCCCATTTGTACCTGAATTCCTCGGCATTCATTCCTTTAAAATTAAGCAGTTAAAAGTTACGAATTGTTCTTAACAATGATTTTACACAATGACAAGAGATATAATCCCCAACATACATCCCGGTATCGGTTGTTTGTGGGAGAAATACGGTTCCATCGTCTGTATTTCAAAGGTGTCGGCTTTAACTAGGCCTGATACATAATAAGACAAACTTAAAGCAAGCGGCTTACATACACTAACCACGGCCCGGCCAGTACCTAACGCATGCGCGCAGTCATATTGACCCGACGGCTATGCCATGCTAATGAGCCTCAATAGGGGGGAAACAGCTGTCGGTGGTTGCCACTGCCTGCGTGATATGGCTGTGCGCATGCGTGAGGTACTGGCCAGGCTGCGGCTTGGTGTACGTATGGATGCCCATTGCTTTAAGTTTGTCTGATATATAATAACTCGTACAGTTAACTTGTCGCCTCAAGGCGGCCAAGTAGCCAATAGATTCTAAGCTGCCGAGATAAAGCCGTTGTTTCAAAAAGTGGAGCCATGACAGTATCAGATTCTGGATTCCACGCCGTAGATTCCGGATTCCAAGTGCTGGATTACAGTATTTGTCAGTGGAACAAGGATTCTAGATTTCAATCCTTAGTGAGATTCTGGATTCCAAAGCCTAGAATTCCAGCAGCAAATGTTCCAATACAGGATTCCACAAGCAAAAATTTTCGGGATTCCAGAATCCGAATTCCCTTAAGCCTGGTTCACACTTGCGACATAACGAGATAACGAACGACATAAGAGGGTCGTTATGTCGTAGGTCTGAACATGTAGATATAACTACATAAAAGCAACATAACGACATAAGGAAAAAACTGATCATTTTCTTGTGTCGTTATGTCCTTATGTTTCGGTTATGCAAGCTAAAAACAAGTGTCAATACCGTTCGACATAACGACATAACAAAGAACCAATCAGAGCGCCTCAGAAATATTGAACCTAGTCTCCCTCGTTCAAGCGCAATTTGCAAGATGGCGGCTGCAGGGGAGGTTGAATGTGTTAATGAACATATGCATCCAGATATCAACGAACTACTTTCCGAAGCTGTTCGTCGATATCCCATTCTATATGACAAAGCTCTTAAAGAGTTTAAAGATTGCAAGATGAAATTGCACAAACTTAAGATATCTCAGTTCACCTACGGAATGTTGGCAAGTTGACCTCGAATAATATTCCCTCTCACCCAACCCAAGTTCTTTGACGAGGTTATAGTACGGGCTATTGGCTCTTCTTGCTTCCTCTTGAAATATTGGGCGTACCCAACTTTTTCTTGGTGCAATTGCCTTGTTTTGGAGACTTTTTCTTGCCTTCTCATTAGAAAAAACAACACAATGGCAAACGCCACGGGGAGCGCCTCCGCCATTTTGTTTTCTTTACTGGACCTATAGTAATGTCATTATGTCGATGTTCACATTTGCGACAATAGCATCTTATGTCTTATATCGCTATGTTGTTATGTCATGTTATGTCGCAAGTGTGAACCAGGCTTTACATGGAGCGAATCCATAGCCGCGGGGAGAGCAGTTGCTGCTCAATTATCGATCACCTTTGGTTGCGAAGATTTAATAGAAGAATTTCAATCAGAGTATAAATGTCATCACAACACTGAAACCGCACTTTTGAGGGTTCATAATGACATTTTGAAAGCTGTTGATGACAGCATGTCTGTTATTTTACTTTTTTTTAATTTTTCGGTTAAATTTGATCACAAAATTGCAATCGTTTTGACGAGAGGAACACTGCCACCGACACTGAGGTGAATAATTGTTTTAGTATACACTAAAATAATGAGATAATTGAGCACAAAAATGATGATTTTTTACTCATTTACTGTTACCAACGATTACAATTTTGGCGCACAATGACCGAACGGCCGCGGTCGTCGCTTTTTCTTGCCGACAAATAAAACTTTTGAGGGCATTTGTTTAGCTCTTACGGGAAAATTTCTTCAAAAGGAGTCGTGAATTCTTTTTGTATTTAAAATCATTCTGTAAAAAAGATTATTAAATTTAGTTTTAAGCTTATTTATAAACAAGTCAACTTAATAAAGTAACGCAAGACTTAAGCTTAATTTGCTTTTGTAAACAAAAAACTTTTTCACCGGTTTTATCGATAAATTCAAGTAAAAAAGACAAAGCTTTACCTATTAAAACTTCCAAACCGAACTTCGTCACCTTCTTCGTGTATTTCGGAAACAGCTTGCTTGATTAGTTGTGAAATTTCTTTGTTTGTTAGCGCAGCAAACGGGAAGTACTTGGCGCGATTTCTGTGACGATGTGCGCCTCGCCCATCTTAGCTTGTTCCAGGCTCTCAGATAGTGGGGAAGACGCGAAAGTGTAGGGCGCACGAAAATGAGGGCGGGGCGGGAAAAAAAGGAAAAGGAAAAGGAAGCCGCCTCCTCCTCTCCCCAGTTTCCTCCTGTTTTTTTTTTTTTTTTCTTGTTCGCCGCGATTTCTCAATTCCGCGAGCCCGACTATCTCGGAGCCTGGAACAGGCTACGCCGATCTCTAAGGTGGAGAGTAACATATTGGATAGGTGTTCACCTGATATCTTTCGTCTCGGCGCCAAAAGCTATCCACTATAGTGCGAGCAAATCCTAGATCTTTGCCCGCGTAGAACTCTGGTTTGTATGAGTTATGAATGGCCATTGTCGTTTCTGATTATTTTTAACAAACTGTGTTTTAACTAACAACCAATACGTTTTGAACATGAAGGCCCTTAGATACATAAAGCCTTTTTGTAAAAAAAAGAAATACACTTTTTAGTCTGGTAGCTCAAAATCTGCAATTCTCCTAAAGTCTTTGAGTCTTTGAAAGGTACATCACGTTCCTAAGCTGTGAAATTTACTTTGAACTTACCGCCAAAACGTATCCAGTCCGATTTATATACAGCCAGAAGACCATAGCCGTTCATCTGCCAAAAGCCTTGATGATCAATATGTGTACTGTTACAATTAAGACGTCCCACTACGGGAAAGAAAGCGATTCTTCCTTCTATGGTGTTCTGTTGAAAGAAAGACAGATTTGATCTTGTTTCTCAAATGGAACAAGAGTTCAGATGGTGTAGTTGGAAGCAATTTCGGTATAACTTATTTTCCAACAGAAATAATAGCATTTTACTCTAAAATGCAACAGAAAGTCGACTTTTAAACCTTTGATTAAATGAAGGCAAAAGCGCTATTGACTATAAGAAAAGTGAATAGAGTAGTATTAGTATTATTCGCTGAAGAAGTCAGTGTGTCCTGCTATAGCAACACACGTACAGAGCGTTTTCACTCACGTGGCCAGCAGCTATGCAATTTTATTGGACAAAAGAAAGCGTTTACGCAAGATAGAGTTCAACTCCCACAGGAACACCAACATGGCCGCCGTTATATAGCGTATTCACTCAGGTGGCCAGCCTCCATGCAAATTTATTGGAACAAAAGAAAACATTTACATAAGAAAAGAGTTCAACTCTCACTGGATTTTCTTGGTACACCAACATGACTGCCGTTTCGTTGTTTCAAACACCAATATGGCCACCGTGACGTCATGTGAATACGTTCTATATTGTTTTGGGACAACAATATAGCGGACATGACGTGGATCTATCAACTCACCTTTCGCACGCTGTCCAGAATGTCAACGGGTACATCGATATGAAGATCAAACAAGAACAACAGATCACGCGTACTTGGTACTTGCTCTACAGCTTTGTTCAGTGCCAGGGTCTTGTAAAATTTACCGTTCAAGTTAATAATAGTGTGCCTGCTTCTCAGTAGGGCGGTATCGAACGCTTTGGCCAAGTCGATATCTTGACTCTCAAAATCAGCAACAATAACGTGGAAGTTCGTATCACCCGTCAATAAGCTGGCAACCGTGAGATCATTGATGAAATGATAGACCCATCTTCCCTGATCTTTGACAGGGAGTATTATGTATACCGTGGCGTTTCTGTTCCACTCAATTCCCTTGGGAAGACACAAACTGTTCGTTCCCTTTTTTTGATACACGTGCTCCGAGAAGCGATATGATTTCTCAGTGTGAGGCAGGCCAAGTTCCAGATCAACTGAATATCGGTCCCCATAAGCAGGATCCGATTTTTGTAGAACTTTGTGAATTCTCTTCAAAATGTAGTCCCTGAAAGAAAAAGAAAAGGTGAAAAAAAAAACACTAGAAGAATTTATAAACATAGAGATCATCAATCGAGCGTCGATGTAAGAATTATTGTTACTTCAGCGCAGAATACTTGTCAAGGAAAACATGCTTTTGCCTGGTCTTAGGACAAGCACTGTGATTGTTGCAATGAACAAATTGTCAGGGGATTGGAAAAACTGAGGCCTGTTCTTGAGGATTTATTTCAAGCATGCGCTCTTTCATCGCCTGTTACATTTCTGACGGGCGATCAGGTACACCTCCTTCGGCTTCGTCAACAAGGGATCTGGGTACGAGATAATCGTAGCGTTGAATTTGCTTCATCTGTCTTCTGTCGTGCGACAACGTCACGGTACAGGCATAAAAAGGCCTAGTGTACACATGCAAGGGCAATGAGTAAACATTTTTGTTCATTTTCGTTGTGCCTTTTAGCTTCGCTGTCAGTTCAAAATATCGGACTGAAGGCTTTTTGCTTATCTCTTTTCGTGCATCGGGTGCTGGAGTTCCCCCATCAGTGTTAGCAGACTGTTTTTTTTTTTTTGTGGGGGGGGGGGGGGTTTTGTGTTTTTGTTTTTACGTGGTGTATTTTTTATTTTTTTGCTTGGCTTTTTTTTTGTTTTTTTTTTGTGTTGCATGGGGTTTTTGTGTTCCCCATGTTTTTTTGGTTGTGTTTTTTTTTTTTTTTTGTGGGGGGGGGGGGATCATTAAACGTTTCCGGGAAACGGCCAACCTACCCCTCCCCGAAGCCAACAGAGTTCCCTAAGTGAGCAACCTCGTCCCCAGGGCGCTTTCCCCGCGCTTTGGAGGTGAGGCGGTGTCACAGCGTTTTGGACATCCCCGCGTTTTGGGCATCCCCATTCCCAAATCCCTGGCGTTTTGGGCATCCCCTTCTCATATTACTGCAGCGTTTTGGGCATCCCCCACCGGGGATGCCCAAAACGCTAGGGATTTGGGAATGGGGATGCCCAAAACGCTGTGACAGCGGGAAAAGGATATTAAATTATCACGGATAGTGATTTACAAGTCCAAAACTATAAGAATGACGTGCAGCTTATTTGAACTGAGGCTGCATTACTAAGGAGAATTGCATCGTGACTTAGTAGACCCCAGCTAAGTGGGTTTTTTTTAAAGATAATATGAGTCTTTTGACTGGAGCGCGCGTATTTCCTTCCTGATAATAGCTTTTATAAACTTAACAGTGTTTGGACTGTTTTGTTATTGCCACTTTGTGATCGGGCAAGACCATGGTTTCGGTTTTCCACGCGAACCTCATTAGTTGCCGGGTTGGATTTGCGCTTATTTGCTTAAACAAGAGCAATTTTAGTTATTCTTTATCGTGGCCAGAACGGTACAGCCGTGAAATAGCATCGACTTGCCAGATCCAGTTGGTAAGACTCCAATAACAGCCTTTCAGGATAGATTCGAAACACTTTACCTGAAGAGGTTTAAAATTAAGCGATGGAAAGTTACCGTTACTCAGGGGAAAATCCAACCCGGCGAACCACGGATAAAAACTCTCGTCTTCGCATTGCAAATTTAACTGATTTAGTTAGAAAAGGTAATATGATTAGGCATTGTTATGATAAAACGTGTTGCTGTATTGTAGACAAGTGTTAGTTGGAATTAGTTCGAGTTAACGGGGAGTTCGAGTTGTCGGGATTCTACTGTATTTTTCCCCTTTGACTGGTTTCCCTTTATTCTCACTGCTGGTCCATTACAGCTTTGCGAGGTTTTTGCGATAGACGTATTTCTAGTAATGTTTATATGATATTGGCTCATTCTTCCACTGTGCATGCATTTCCTATCGAGATATGAAGCAAATGGAAAGTTCACAGAGCACTCAAATAAAGGCGCAAAACCATCGCCCATCTCCTGAAATTCCACACGATAGCCGTGCAAACATGCGGGTTCCCACGCGAGTTTGTGCCGTTAAGGGTCGCGCAGTTTGTTCTAAAAATGGCTCTTTCGATAGAACCGCATAGACCCCGCGCTTACGGTCTCCTACCCCGGTTATGGCTCCTGTTATAATGTTGAACGGTTGAAGCCATTCAAGTTATAAATGAAGTGGCGATAGAAAAAGGTTTTCCTTGTATCTCTACCACTTAAGAAAGTGGTAAGGGAAGGGAGAGGGCCGGCTTATTCTAGAGGGGCGCTTTTTTGATATTTTGGATACGGGGTGGGCGCTTATTCGGGTGAAGGCGCTCGTTAGAGCATGGATGCTTATCCCAGCAAATACGGTATATCTTTAAAAATTTAAAGAAATTTTCATTTAACTTACTCTGAGGAACTGAGACGAAGTGCAGCAACCATGTTATCCACGACTGACCGAATTACCTCGCTGTCGGCGGCTCGATTTGGACTGCCCCACTCCACTACTGGGCCGTTTGACATCTGCGTATCGTCTGGTGGAAAAACACTGGATTCAAACACCATTTTCACACCTTCATTGCGTTGAACTTTATTTCTTGGTACAAAACTACTATTGTAATCGCAGGAAGTTAGAAAATTAGCTTTCGAAATGAAAGGCAGAGAATAAAACTTGACAAATTTGCTGCTGATGCGTTTGGATTCTTGTTCGAACTCTTGCTGATATCGCTGCGAAAGCACATTGTGCAGTGCTACTTTTTTCTTTGTTAGATGCGTTGTATTCTGCAAAAATGACGAGAGGTATTCTGAAGTGATGAGTGTAAAATCTTGATCTTTGTCAGATGTAGTCCAAAATACACGCACGAACCCTTTGCCTATGTCCTGTTGGTGTAAAACCTCGACGTAGTATTTCTTATTAGCTTGAAGATAGAGTGGCTTTTTGGTTCTCTGTTCAGGATATTTGTCTAACTCGTCCTTACCCGACCAAGCTATTTCTTTTTCACCAAATACACGAGCAACTAGCCGTTTCTTATCGGGATTTTCGTCTGTACTTATCCACAACTCCGAAGTGTCGTCAGAGACGATCGCAAAACGATACAAACCATTGCTTTGTGGATGTAAATATCCAAATATTTTCTGACAGTAGTCCTCGCTGTCGTCTTCAATCTGAAAGTCGTTGATGAACTTCTCCTGATCAGGATATTTTGGAAAGAACAGTGACTCTTTTAAATATGTTACGTTTGAACAGCATGGCATTCGCCAAACGTGAACATTTAGAGCCTTTGATACACGTGCTGCAACAGTACCCTCGTCCCCAGAGACGGGATCCTGTTGGCCGGCGCCACCGATCGTCCCCAGAGACGTGGAGGATTCGTCAACAGTATGTCTTCCCCAAACTTTACTGAAGAGTAGAATAGACGAGATCGAGCATGCAGTTAGTGCGAAAATCAAACGCTTTACAGCTTTGTGAAATCTTCTGGATGTAAGAGGGCGTCGAAGATACATAACTCGGATGAATAACAACTTGGATCGAGTGTTGCGCAGGACCCCGCTTGTGATATAGTTAACAGTCAAGTCAGTCAACTGAACCACCCAGCTGTCATAACACTGTAAAAAGACATTTAATACAAATTAACTTAAAAGCTTAAAAAAAATATGTACTTTCTTTACTGTTGTCGATCATCGGATATATACAGTGTATATTAACATCATATACACCTAACTGCAAAAACTGTTGTGATAGAAAAATGCAAAAATGCAAAAAGGAAAATGTGAATAATAAACCACTCTAGGGCTCATCAATTTGCAATATACGTGTACACGGCTAACAGGGCGCATGGGATTTATTCGTGAACTGACGTTGATAGCAGTTAAATTTTACAGTTGATACAGATAACGCGATTCCTTTTGTTTACTGTAGAATTAGAATCGAAAATGAACTAAACTCTAGCCTGCGAACGCGTAGGGCAACGACCGGAAACATGTATGCGTTCGCAGGCTGGACTGATGAAACCGTCATGAGATCCTGTTACAAACCACAGGCGGCCCAAGCTCATTACATGAACGCGGACGTGACTCTTGCTTGCGAGCGGTGTTGTGTTACAAACGGTTATTTACAATAGACTGCAAAACAGTCGGGTTTTTTCTCCAAATCTGTGAAGAAATCGGTAAAGCGTGGCGTAAGAGTCTTACGCGCGCGAAGCGCAGGAGCCTCACACGTGTGAGGCGAGAGAAAAAAAATGTCTCTCCCCAGTCTCGCTCTCTGTTTTCAGCCTTGTTCGAGACCTTTTGTTTGACTGCTCGGGCGTACTTCCATATGCAAAAATACGGACTGTTCTGCAGTCTATATTTACAAAGGCATTGTATGGGATGTAAACGGTTTTCCTTAAAAGAAAGAAAAACTGTTATGTTTTTAAATAAAATCGACTTACCTTATTGCCCTGTTGTATTCTTTGTTGTTTACCCGCGTCTCAGGCCGTTTTGAAGCGTTTTGGGCGAGTTAGCGCTATTTTGGTGTTCCACTGCAACAGCAGTCTGCTACCAAAATAGCGCTAACCCGCCGAAAACGCTTCAAAACGGCCTGAGACGCGGGTAAACAACAAAAAATACAACAAGGCAATAAGGTAAGTCGATTTTATTTAAAAACATAACAGTTTTTCTTTCTTTTAAGGAAAACCGTTTACATCCCATACAAGCCTTTGTAAATAACCGTTTGTAACACAACAACGCTCGCAGAAGAGTCACGTCCACGTTCATGTAATGAGCTTGGGCCGCCTGTGTACAAACCTGGTAAAATACGGCAACGTTGCGTAACGGAAATGTGACGCAATGACAGCGTGATCGAAATAACCATTGTAAATGCCTGGGATTTTACAAGAGGTGATTTTAAAGAGAGTTTTAGATGTTTCTACGACAAACTTAACTCCTCTTGATCCTGTGTACAGCCATCCTCGGAGACCCAGGGGCAGTCAGTCGGGACGGGAGAAAAGGCGGGACGAAAGTTTTCAAGTATGTTTTCAAGTATTTGGATATTTACTCTTACTGAACTAATTCCAAAAATTCAAGAGGATGCCGGCTCGTGATTGGGCACAAAAAATGCTTTGTATTATTGTGCCCGATCGGCGAACAGTTTCCCCTGAATTCTTTTCGTGAGTTCGTACACGACGGCTATTGTCTCGCCACACTTGCCCGGTTCGTTCACCAAGCTTAGCATACAAGGGAAACTTTTATTTTCTACTTTCCCGACCAGAAACGAAGGAACTACCGATGAGTCGAAAAACCGTTTGGGATGCTATAAGCAGGAGCAATTGAATTTGCCTCGAGAATATTCTGTTTTTGACGGATCACAATGTATCGTAAATAATAGGAAGTTTAAGATGCGGCGGTGACAAGAAAGTCAAATAAGCAATAGCTTGACAAGCCAAAACAACAACTTTGCACATGCATCACGCTTTTTTGTACATTTCTTTGCCGTCAACTGCACGACTACCCGGGAAAATGCCTTATTTCACGTTTTGTGAAGGACTTAAACAAGCAATGACAAAATTCATTCTCTTCATGAACTTGGATATGGTTGATAGTTCGCTTGCATTTGACAAAGTAGGCGAGTTGGAATAATCACGATAGAGACTGAAAAAAATATGAATTCACTTTTCCATGCGACGTTTTCGTGGTTGTCAGCCGTCGTGGTATCTTTTAAAAACTCTCTATACATATTTACGCAAGACGAGGCCGATGCAAGCGTCAGGAATACCTGTTGTAAGCTGAAGCTTGTATTTTTGGAAAAGCGTCTTTAGTTTTCGGGCAGACAGTATTTTGAAATCAGATGGGGATTTTACATTAAACTGAAAGTTTCCTGACTGCGTGCATTTCTTTGGTGTATGAGCCAAACAAGCCGTGATCGAGACAATAGCGTTCGTGTACGAACACACGAAAAGATCTCAGGAGATGTGTTCTCCGATTGGGCACAATGATACAAAGCATTTTTTGTGCCCAATCGGGAGCCGGCATCTGCTTGAATTTTTGGAAATGATCCGGTGAGAGTCGGTGCCCAGGGGCTCTTCCACCCTCACTTGAAAACTTTTGTCCCGCCTTACTGCCCCTGGGTCTCCGAGGATGGTGTAGAGCTGTTTCATTTATATTTGTTCTTACGCCATAAAAAAGTCTATGACGCAAATGGAGCGTGTGAGCAGAGGTTTCTCTCTTGCATGGCTTTTAACGTTTGCCAAGTCTTTCGCGTCACCTGTCTGCGTTTGTACGTTTGTTTTAACAAAAAAACCAACTACACGACAGACAGGAGACCTGAACGACTTCGTAAACGTCAAAAGCCATGCAACAGAGAAACCTACTGCCCCAAGGTAAAATAAATCGAACATAGAGTGGTTTATTTGTGATTAGTAATTAACAGTTAATGAATGAGGCTGAGTATCTTATGAAGAATTATGGACATAGAGGAGGGTGTTATCCGCCACAGCCTACCGCCTCGAAGGATAACACCCTCCGAGATCTCCATAATTCTTCATATGATACGAAAGCCGAATTCAACAATTGTTTTATATTCTACTTATTCATTCATAAACATTTGGCGCTTACCATATTTGGAAGATGAGAGCAATATACCACCGATTGGATGGTATGATATAGAGTATTTATATGCCAGGCAATGAAAAAATAAATTTGAAATCGTTCAATGAAAGAAGCCAAGAAAATGAAATGTTACAGAGACTCAATCCAAGTCTCAGGTCTGTGCGGCGAACCGTTTTTGGTTGTAATGAACGAATATTCTTTGGTAGTTACTGCGTAGCTAAACACCACAGGGTGCTGTAGAAATTCTACAAGATAAGCCAAGCTTTTTATGGAGACGCCACGCTGGTGTACCAACATGGGACACCAATATGTCTAATGTGGCGGCCGGAAATCAATTGGATTTTACTTTTACGATAATAGAAAATTCTTTCTTTTTTCAGTTGTGAGCTAGTTTACATGTGCTTTACTGCTTAAAATATTTAAACTGTTGAAATTCGTAGGGACCGAGAGAGCTTTTCTTTACATACATACATACATACATACATACATAAACTTTATTAATGTGTCTTGGAATGTCTAGCCGATGGGGTTAAGAACCCCTCTACTAATTGGGGACACCTAACAATATAATATAGTTACCTAACAACATAATATAGTTAAAAACCTACTAACTATCCACTAATGAAATAATTGATTTAAAAAGATTAAGAATTACAAAGGATGCAATTAGAGCAATTGTCGTCGTCTATCATAACACCTAGATCAAATTTACGAATACAATTTTTGAAACTAAATAATGATGGGATAGTTCTGATTTCGCTTGGTAGATTATTCCACAACTTTTGTCCCAGGTAGGTGAGCGAGTGTTTACCATATTTATTGGTCCTAAATCTGGGAATGGCGAACTCTGCCGTCCTCAAGTTATAGGGTGAGCAATGCGCGTGAAATAGCTCGGATATTTTGATGGGGCATAGTTTGTGTTTCACCTTATACATAAGGATAGCAATATCTTGCAGTCTTCTGTTCTGAAGAGTCGTTAGGTCACTTTTGTCCAGCAATGCTTGGCAGCTTGATTGCTTATCTAGGAAAACTGCGCGCAGTGCTCTTTCTTGGACCCGTTCAAGCTTTCTTTTGTCTGTGGCACTACAGAAATGCCAAGTCAGGTGGCAATAGGTTAAGTAAGGCAATATGGCTGATTTATACAGAGTTAATTTAGCATTGGTACAAGTTGGGACAAGTTTTTTAAGCCTTAACATTACACCTATCTTTGCCGAGGCTACCACCGTGGTGTCACGATTTGTGAAAATGCGGAAATTCAAAATGCTGTATTTTCAAAATGAAACCACGGGAGCTACGGGGCGTGAACTTTCTGTAAAGATTTATTTCTCCGGCACCTTAAACCTACTGTAGATAAAAAATCGGAAGACCTCGCTTTTCTGTCGCACTTTGTAATGAAAAGCTGTCGCACTTTGTAATAACAGACCAGCACACTAACCACTTTGTTATAAAATAAGCTGTCGCACTTTGTAATAAACGTGAAATGGATGGTCGGAGGACAAGTAACAACAACAACAATAATAATAGAAACAATTCCTCGCGAAGCGCCAAGCCGCGAGGTTTATAATCTTGTCGCGCGCGAAGTGGGCGTGTATCCCACGTGCATCGCAAGGCCAGCGTGATTTTCTCTTTGCTATAAATCTATCGAGTTTGGTTGGTGTCCGCCTTGCAGTCATCCAGATTAGTGACGTCAAAGTGTATTATGTGTTTCCGGGCAACCGATTGCCATCGATGACAAAGCTTCGTGGTTTTATTGACAAAGACCTGACGTGTTTTTTCATCTGTGAATTATAACCTACCTACCTACCCACCTACCCACCCACCCACCCACCCTTTGACAGCCCAGTGAATGGAAAATCAGTGCTTTCAATAAGACCCGGCACCCGCCGGAGCTCCGGCGGGTATTCTGTTGAAAGTCGGCG